CCTCTGGATGGTAATCCAACCCGGATGGACCCTGTGAAACACTGGGCTAAGGGCTTTAAAATTACACTCCGGTTTTCCACCCGGCTGCGCTTTGTATCCCTCAAATTCTCGGGCTAGTGAAGATTACAGCTAGATTGAGGAGGAGGATAATCACATGCGGCGATTACAAGTCTTTTAGTTCCGTACAGGCCGCGAAGTTCACGACCTTTTACCATACTCGACGCAAGTAGCAAAAAGGCGTATGCGATCCATATCGGACAAAATCGCTCCCACCGGAAGCGCAGCTACAGAGAGATCCTCCTCCTTTTTACAGTTTCTTTTTTAATTTTCATCTCAGACTCGACTGTGAATTCCATTTATGGGATGCTTATTCTTGGGTTTGCGTCTTGCATTTCTGCTATCTGGAGAAGTTTGTCGATAAACCCTGGTTGCGAAAGTTTGATAGACCCATCTCCATATGTGATATCGATGTTAAGGAAAGATTCCGGCTGCTTCCAGACTTTGACATCTGTTGGTTTCCGTCCACTTGGCCTTTCGTATCTCCCACTAGCCTGAGCTAAAGGAGGCAAGTAAGATCCTCCCTCAAGGTACAAAGTAATGAGTTCTATGCCATACAGGTAGCCTTCCCAGGGAAGTAACGGACCTTCAAAGTACGGGAATGAGACTGATTTCTCCTGCCAAAGACGCACCACGATTTTCAACATTTTCCAGCCTTGAACGAAATGGGATTCGTCCAGCCCCATAGGAAAAAAACCGAGGCTTCGCGAAGCCATAACTTTACGAAATCCGGATCGATTTCCACGAACCCAGTCTCTTTGATTATCAGTTAGATGCCCTCTATCCATCGCACTGGGCGGCGCCGCCAAATTCGACGATCTGCAATCGGCCGATTTTCGTCCCCCCCTAACGTGAAGTCGCCTTCTTAGTACGGACTAAGACGACGCGCGCAAGTTTTCGCGGACGCTGAGCCTCACCGCGCGATTAGTCCGTACTAAGAAGATCTCCAGGCCCGCCCCCGGGGCCCCGGTCGCAGCCCATAACGTGCGCAGGAGGTGCTTCAAAATCGCGACTCAATTTTAGTGGACGGACTCCCAAGCGCCCGGCGTGCCGCACCTGTCAAGGAGATCAAGGAGTCTGAAAGAGCCGGACGGCAGCAGAGGAACCTTTTCAGGACCTGGAGTTGGAGGCGCCGAAGTTGGAGGCGCTGATTATGGCTACGCATGCAATTTCACACAAGAATCTACAAAATAATCGTTAGCGGGTACCATGGTGACCACTCAGTCTCGTTGCATAGAGTCCACCGCGATTGAGTCAGCATTCTGGAGGACGATTGACGACATATGTGATGGCGTTGCGGTGCAACAAGCGAGCGACGGGCGCTTGATGCCCGAATCTGTGAGAGAGCAAAGCGCGACCGCTATTAAACTCTATTGTTCCTTTCACCCCCCGCAAAGCGAAATTGCGGAAGCAGTAGAGAAACTCATGTCGTCAGCATCAAAGTTTTTTGCCTGCGTTGAACAATCCATTTGATTATGACAACTGAGTTGAGTAGGCGACT